CAGAGGGAACCGAGACGTAAACCATAAGACAGAACACAGACAAAGAAACCAAAGACTAGAAATGATAAATAATATAATAAATTCAAACCTCTGGGTCAACGACCCAGGCATCCTAACGAGTTGGGGCTTCTGTAGAAACTTTGCTCAGTGACATCAAATGTAAAACTGAAACTGTAAGCACCGCTCCTTTAGGAGCAGGCCAGGTATGCAGCATTTGTTACTATGGTGATCTATAAAGGGCCACCCACCCACTCACACACTGCTACACCCACCTGCTGTTTTCTTCATCCTTTGATATACAAGACACATGAAAACACTAATGCCAATAGCCAGGACAAGCACCGGAACCAGGACCGCTGGGAGAACTTTGGGCCAGATTGGAGGAGGAGGAGGACGCTCTGTAATGAACACAAACACAACCTGAACATGATGCTGAATGTTTTGAAGAATTCATTAATAATTAATATGAATTCACTGATAATAACAATGCTAATTGAAATGAATTGTAGTATGACCTCTGCTTCAAATGGATTTAAGATTTTTAAATCTTATTTTGATTGTTTTTATAATGATTTCTGCTGATGAAATCACAGTTATATGTTGGTTTATCCTTTTTAAACAGAAGTCTGACCTTGGCTACGTTCACACTGCAGGCGAAAGCGCATCAAATCAGACTTTTTTGACCCTATGCGACCCATATCCGATCATGGTATGACAGTGTGAACGGCACAAATCCGATATTTTCAAATCCGATCTGGGTCACTTTCGTATGTGGTACTGAATCCGATACATATCTGATGTTTTAGAAAGCGACTGCTGTTTGAACGGTCATGTCGCATTAAATCCGTCTTTTACGTCACTGACACAAGACAGACGCCAATTATCAGCGCCGGAGAAGACATCGTGAACGCTTCCTGGCCATCCAGTGTAGATGTAGTGAAACTGTTGGGAAGACAACGTTGGAGAAACGTGAACATTTTATTTGTACTGTATAATCTGCAGATTCTGACAGAAATCTGCAACTATCCTTTGAAGCACCGCTCCTCTCTAAAACAGCAATAAGGATCATTATTAGGCCATATGTAAATAACAAAATAACTTTATAACTTAAAGCAAAATTGGGAAACGTAAAGTCCGAAACAAGTCTTTATATTAAGGGCCATCAGTCAAACAATACTGTTTGGTCTGGGTCTAAACAGAGCGCGTTGTGTGTGACGTCTTCTTTTGCGCATGCAGGCCGCTTTGAGGTTCACACTAGAGCGCGTTTGCTGTCACATTTTATTTGTAGTGTAAACAACCAGACAAAAAAATCAGATTTGATCAAAAAATTGGAATTGAGCATTAAGACCTGCAGTGTGAACGTAGCCTTTGATCTTCTCTGGTTATGTTGACTGTTCCTGAAAGCCTTTCATCTTTGTAATGTTGAATGGTCACTTTTCTCTCTGGTCACTCTCTAAGGGGAATCTACAGCACTGACCTTTGACCTTTAGTTGCACTTCAGTCTGGTTCTGTTTTTCTCCAACCTTGCGTACGGTGCAGGTGTAGAGTCCACTGTCAGAGAATGTAGGTTTTCTCAGAGTGAGGCTGAGGTCTCCGGTCTTCAGGGCGTCCTTTTGAATGGATGTTCTGTTGACGTATTGTTTATTTTGCTCTGTAAGATAATCACCTTCCTCTGTGCGAACATGGATGATTGAAGGATTCAGGTCATCGCGTCCCCACACAACTACACCCTCTTCAGCTGGAACGGGAAGCTGGCAGAGCAGAAGGACAGACTCCTCCCCCTCATACACCTCGACTCCTGAGGCATACTGGGAAACTGAGGACGCAGAAAGAGGTTAAATCAATCTGAGTTCCATACTAAACAAACAATGTGAGCCGGTGTAGAATTATCTGTAGCTCAATTGTGCAAACACATGAAAAGAAAGTCCAGCTTTCCTGTTTCTATTTTGAAATTTAAGAAACTACAAAACGAAAACGGTAGTGGGTGAACTTCTGTCCTGAGTTCCTGAGGCTAAAAAACAGACTGGAGATCAGTTTCTGAAAGCAGATCTGAGTTTTGTCATAGTTAGGGGTGGATCAGGTGACACTGACTCATTCCTTAGTTATGAGGTCAGGCTGCTGGAGGCTTCCCATGATGCATTTTTCCTCCTTTCCCATTATTTTCATTCCCCGTGCATTTATACACCACTACAGGATGTCATTACCCTTGTCTTTTCTCTCCCTTTTTTGTTGTTGTTTATCTTCCTTCACACAGTCACCAAGTGCTGGTCATAGGGGATCATCTGACTGTTGAGGTTTTGATTCTAATACTGTAGGTTCTTTACAATATTAAGCTCCTTGACGTGACTGTTGTTCTGAACTAGTGGTATATAAATAGGACAGAATTTAAATGAATTATTTTAATGTTTAAAAAACAAGTGGAAAAGTAGACACAGCTGAACTGAACCAGAATTGCAAAACTAGATTACAAAACTAAGACAGAACCTATAGAAATAAGCTAGAAAATATCTACTAAAAACAAAACTGAAAAAACATAACAATATACTAACTATGAATCAAGCAGGAATTAGTCAACAACAAAGAGAACTCTTAAGTCCATAACTCAGAGATGGAGGACCATGACAATGTCACTTATTCAATATAACTATAGTTTAAATCCTCAGAGGTATACACACTGTGTGAAAACTCTGTCAGCACGTGTAAAAACATGCAGGAGGAGCACAGGTGTGTAAATCAAGAAAATAAGGAAATTTCCTGCCTCAGAGCCGCAGCGTGACATGACAGTAAGTACTGTTAGTCAATATACAGCGATTCTCTGATGTTCATGCATTTTCTTTTGCGACCTTTAGATGAACAGAAATGTTAGTTATTGATTATAAATATAAATACAATTAATTTAATAAACATTAATAAACTAATGCTATGCTTTATACTGACATATAGAGAACACAGTCTGTTCAGGACCAAGTCTTCTGCCTAATATCATAATGTTCCACATGCATTGTAATTTAATGAAATATATTTTCAAGTAGCCTAATAAATGTGTCACTGCATGTAAATCATCATCATCTGTCAAGTAAGAGAAGCAAAGTACAATTCAGTAGGCAGGTTTCAACAGCATTGATGCTTATTGATGACCTGGGGTCGCCAGTTTCACAGCGGCAGGGGAAACCCAGTACAAAATGCATGCACGCAGTCAAGCAGTGGACTGGCAGGATTTTAATAGGCTACCGACTTTAATAAATACCCAGTATGACACTGCACAATACCAGTACATTGGCATGTGCGTATTTACGCAAATGACACAGTTACTGTGTAATGCGGATGTGTCCGACGCAGATCATGTTTTGTTCTTCTGCACTCTGCGCAAGTAATCAACCCATATTTGAACGCAGAGCAGTCC